TATTTTTTGAAGTTGAGTCTGATTTGCTTCATTGCTGTTGCAAAGCACCTTTGGGTACTTTGTGCTAATGAAGCTACAGAACTACAAGTTATTGTGGTTTTACCAGAAAAAAAAATTTGATTGTCCCTAGTTTCACAGTAACAAGCAGGGAACCAGCCACCCTTTCTTCTTTTTAAGAATTGTATAAATTGCAATAAGATTGCCCCTCATTCTTCAAAACTGAGGCCCAGTGTGCTCTGATTCTTGAGACATTTAACGATACATAGAATAAACTTAATCCATTTTGCTAACTTTTTGTATTACCAGCTCTTATGGCTAATCTTCCTGTTTGGTTAGCTTAGGCACCAATTTAGCACATCAGATGGAATTGTGGTTTGTGGCTTGATATTGCACAAGGAGGTGAGGCTGCTTTAGGTTGTCACCTAGCATTGATTAAGTGGGTACACTTTTGCAAAGCTATGATGAGCTTAGTTCACACAATTCTGAAGTATGTTAAAATCAGAAGAATTGTATGGAACTGTAAACCATTCAATGATTGTGATTGTTTGAAAGTGTAAACTCAATTAGTCCTGCTTACCTGTTCTTTTCATGGATCCTGGAATTTTCTCCTTTTTCAAGTACATCTTCATCTCTTTGGAAAATTAATTAGTTAGGCCACTAATTTATGTTCATTGGATGTTCTGAGTAGACCTGTGTTTCTAGGCAATTATCTGAACTTAACATTAGTTTGCTGAATCATATTTTTCACATTGCGTTAGTGCGTCCTGATAGTTCAACCATGTAGTAAAACATCACTAAGCTGCATTTAACCAGTTAATTGAATCTGGAACAATAACAAAGTTGCTGGAAAAGCTCAGCAGGTCTGGCAGCATCTGTGAAGGAGAAAACACTCAACGTTTTGGGTCCGATGACCCTTCCTCAGAACTGAACCTGCATCGTTTGAGTAAATCCTATAGTGACTTTTGCCTATAGTTATATTCTCATACCCCATTTTTGAACTTAACCATTTACAAGATATTTATTCCAGTTAGAGTACTGAAGATCTCTTCAACTTTGAAGACCTTGTTTCTCCTGCAAATGATCTGCTAAAGTTGAACATGAAAAAAGTGCTGAGTTGACACTTTGTTTCACAACTATGAACATGAATTGTTGGAGAATTTTGTTCCACAGAATGTTGAATACAGATTCGTAGTCTCAATTGCTCAACAGTAATATTACATTTAAAAGAACAAGTTGGTGGAAAATTACTGAAATAAGTGTTTTTGTTAGCTGAGCTAAGATCTTGCAAACTAAAATGTTGATTTGAAATTGAATTTCCTGAAATGGCTATCTTCAGGATCTTTGACTTGCAGTATAGAACCCTTGAAAAGGCTGTTTTGTGTCCTCACTTGAGGCTTTGTGAAATGAAATCTTGTAGCGTGACTGTGGCAGCTGCATCTAGTTTTGCAAAACCTTCCTTTCAAAAAATTCCCAAATACTGTATACAGAGTTTTTACTATTGGAAGCACTTATTTCTAGAATGATTGCTTGGTATGATTTAAACAGGCAGAAGCTGAAAGTCAATTTAAGATTTTATTTGTGGTGTCAGTGTTTAAAACAGCTAAACATTTTGTGGCATTACGTGCAGGCTAATTATATCATAAACATTTGCAAGCTTAATGTGTGGAGGCAGTGTTCTTGTGTATAGTTTCTTTGTAAATGCAAATAAAGCTTTGTAGCACCTATAAAATGTACCATAAGTTATTTGAGCAGAAATGTATTGTATGACATACTGATAAGTATCAGTATGTTCAGTCAAAACGTGCTTAGTGAATGGTTTATATTTTGACATTGGTCCAGGATGGAACACATGCAAAAAAAAGTGGACTTTGTACGATGGCATTTGAAGCTTAATTTTAATTTTTTTAAACTTTTAGTCTTTCATCTAGGTTTAATGTCAACATCATAACCTTGGAGACTTTTCTTGATAATCGTGTGCTGGAGAAACTTCAGGTGCAGAAGGACTGTTTGAAAGTTTCTCCATATTTTAACTTCAGGCTTCCAGCATCACAGTATCATGCTTTTATTGTTGAATAAGTTATGGCGCTATGAATTTAGGAGTTTTACTTCGGCAGAATTTTTGACTGTACTGCATGTCAATGATAGATGGATAGATACTAAATTGAAAGGAACACAGTCCAATCTTCAGATAGTTTTAAACAATACATGTAGATCGTATTGAGCATTCCTGTCCTTTCTATGTACGTATATGATAAAATGAATGGTAATTTGCACTTCCTTTATAGTAGCCTAATAGCAACAATATAAAATTTTGAACGCAGCATTTAATGAAGTAATGTTCAAGAGGTGTAGGCTTGAGTATAACAGTATTTGAAACATTTGTGTCTATTTTAGATAACTGTTTGCAAAATATGTTTGGATGTTTAGTTGGAAGATGAATCCACAAGTGGATGCATTTGAGTTTAGTGTAACTTACAATTTTGGGCATTGTTAGGCTCCTTTGTTCTATCTGTCTTCCGGGACAAGAATTCAAGTTAAACTTCTGATTTCAAGGAGTAGATCTCTTGGATGAATATAACTGTTCAGAAGTATGAGCCTCAGTTTGAATGCTTGAGATTTGCAAAATTATTTTTACTGGAATCATTTGTGCAAGAGTGCCAACGTGATGAGAGACTGTAGGTAATGAGTAAAATAGCCATCAATTAATTAACTGGTGCAGGAAATTAAACTGCTTTGTAATTATTTGAACTAAACTTAATTGAGTTAAAATTTTGAAATAGTATCACCAGATGAATTGTGGTTTTATCACATCTTCCCTAATGTAGTCATTAGTGCATTGAAGGTTTCAAACACCTTTAGTCAGAATCAAAATTTAATCAGGCTCAAATGTGGCCAATGGTTTTGTGTTGCATTCATAACTGGAGCAGCTGTTTGTATTTCTGTGTCGAGTCACAGATGGAAAGGAAAGTAGTAGGGTAACTTGTCCTTTTTTCCTGAATTTGAATCTAGTCTAGGTTGTGTTCTACAACCACCATCAATTGTAAAAACATGTCTGGTTCAGTATTGCCATTTAGGGAAGGAAATTTGCAATCTATTAGTTGTTTAATGGAAGATCACATGTGCTATCAATGGATTTAGTTCTCTAATATGACCTAATAGTCTGGCCTTTGACTCCAGACAAACATAGTTTATTCCTAATTGTCTTCTGAAGCAACCTAACAAACCACTTTGTGCAAAGGCAGTTAGGGCTGAGCAACAGATGCTGATCTTGCCAGCAATTCCCACGTCCCATAAAGCATAAATAAAATAAACCGTGCAGGTCTGCATGGGATCTTTCTTGTACTCTGGATCAATAAAGTTCAGTTTCTTGATTTCCAGATCAGCTTATGCTTGATTTTTTTTTTTGAAGGTTCATATTTTCATGTGAAGACAAATTAGTCCCCCTTGTACTGCTGAAGTTGAATGCTGGTTAGGCAGCGTTCTGTTCTTTGGCTCGAGGAATTGTCCCTCTTGGTTTTGACTGGCTGCTAGATTCTCTTGGAGTATCAAGTTTGACTCCTCCCCAGCTAGTTTGATTGTGTGACAGCAAGCGACTGCTCCTGTTGTGTGGACAATTGGTTGTTGCTGCAGTGACTGATACGGAAGATGGGAATAATGGGTGGCTGTTCACACCTTCCTATGGTCATATTTTTACATTGCAACTGCTGCATCTGGTGATTAAATTGGGTATTACGCATATCATGGGACTGTGAAATCCACGAGTGATTTTGGATGCCCTTTCAAGGGAGAACATCTCCTGAACTCAGGAAGAATGTTCAGATGTCTTTTGATCCATCTGGAAAGACCTTAAGTAGCCATGTTGGGTGAAAGTAAATTGACAATGTCCTGAGATAACAAAGTGTAGAGCTGGATGAACACAGCAGGCCGAGCAGGAAAGCTGATACTTCGGGTCTGGACCCTTTGTTTTTTTCTGGAGAAGGGTCCAGACCCAAATTGTCAGCTTTCCTGCTCCTCTGCTGCTGGGCCTGCTGTGTTCATCCAGCTCTACACCTTGTTATCTCAGATTCTCCAGCATCGGCAGTTCCTACAATCTCTTGACAATGTCCTGTTTCTTTTTAACAAAAGTCAAATCCCCATTGTCTTGCGTGTAGGCCCATGACACAGGCATAACACTGGGTTGACATACTAATCTGAATGGTGCATTGTAGCCACCAAAAAGCAAAAGAAGTTGAGGAGGGAGGAAAATCTACCGTTTTATGCATGCTTTCATCAACTTTTGAGAACTTTCAAAGTGGCATATGGGCTTACTTGCACATAGTGACTTGTGGCACATACGCTATCACACAGTTGCTAGAGTGCCTAACTGCTTGGTTGAATTATAATCAGCAAAAATCCTGAAGTGCGCTGCTATGGAATGGATAGTGAGTAACCACTTAAATTTGTTTTTTGAAAGTTTACTTTATACTCAACAGTAAAAGAACTGCCTCATAGATTTGTTTCCTTTTTTGAAGATGCTAGTTCCTTCTCCATAAAAATGAAACTCTATATTAAAGTACTGGCTTTAGTTTGAGTAGTTTTGTTCTGCACCTCCATTTTAAAGTGACGTCCTTTTCTACTGTTGTGATTGGGATCAGCCAGCACTGAGACTGGAACTTAACTGGGTATCATTTGGTTTCAGCAGTTTGTACAAAGTTTCATGAGATTGTTGCATCAGACAATTGTTTGTTTGAAGAAAATTAAACCACAAAACTCCTTGTGCAGGTTTACTGTGAATTCTTGCTCCAAACACCAGTTTTCCATTTAGGCTGTGATGGTAGGATTGATGGCACTTAACACTGGAGATGGGTGAAGACAACAGAATAAACTTGGACGTGGGTCTACCTGTCATTGCAGCAAAGTTGTAATACTTTCCTAACTAATTTTCAGTTTTCTAAAATAGAACTTCACAATAAAACTTATTTTTTGTTGGATTTATGATTTGTTAAAATTGATTTTGACAGATGATTGAATGTACCAAAGGAAATGTTGGCTCGTGAGCATTGAACTACCATGGAGGTCTGTGAATGAGAACAGGGATGCAGCACAGCAACCAGGGAATGCATGGGGAATATTGAAACAACACGTAAAGAACATCCAATGCTTGTTAGTGTGAGCAGTGGAAAAGGAACAACTACCATGGTAACGCTAATCACAGAAAAATTGCAGAATCAGAGCCTGGAGGACATTGCTTGCAAGGCCTACAGTATCAATGTGGTGAGAACTTCATGAACTTTTTTTGGTAAACCTGAGAGATGTGAATATAACTTCTAGTCCTGGTTATTGCTCTGTTGCATTTTAATATTTTTTCTTTATGCTAATTTTAGGGAAAATTGTGATGGAAGCAAATATCAGAAATCTTGTGTCAAGTGTCAATCATTTATTATACTTGGAGCTAATTGATTACTAATCAACTGTGCATCATCCCTGCTTCTATCAGTTTCATCCTGCTTTCCAGTGGTTGAGCAACTAAATTGTTTGCTGATTTTGCAAGTTTTATCATTATTCCCTTCAGGAAGGGTACTGCAGAATGTGTCATCAATGAGGAATGGCAGTTGAGTCATTCATCATATGAAAATCTCCTTGGAAATTATTTTTTTGCTGGCCACCACTTCCTAACTTTTGATTAAAATCTGTACATTCCTTCCATAGTTAGGCAAACCACAATATAAGCCTGTTGTCATGCTTTCTCACAGATCAATTTTTGTTAGTTTGAGCTTGTATGTCTTTGCCCTTTCCATTTGGAACTCATTCATCCACCTTCTGATGTCACTTCAGCTGTGCAATATGCATGTCCTACACATTGTAAGCTTTTCTGTCTGTGCTTCGCATCATTCAAAGAATCACAAAATTAAGGCACTGAAGGAGGCCATATGGCCCTTTGTTAATTTTACCTCCTATCAATCTTCTGTCTTTTCTGCACTTTGGATAATTACTTTGATAGAAACAATGCCTGCTTGAATGCTTCAATGTGAAGGCGGCTGTCTGCTCACCTCTGCCAAATTCTTCTGCCACCATTGAAAGGGGCTGTTGATTTACTTGCTCGTGTCTGAGCAGAAACCTATGACCTCTGGTCCAGCTGAGATAAGGTCACAATCTGAGAAATTGAAGACCAGGCCCTCATTCAAATGTCATATGGCGCCAGCTGACAGTCCAGTTTTTTGCCTTTATGGGGTGTTGTAACTTTTTTAATGTTAAATGCTTATCAGTCTTGAACATTGCAAATTGGGAGGAGTCCACTGATGGCATTCTTGTTTCTGGCTGTATTATCTTTTTAATGGAAGATCACATGTCCTATCAATTTATGAACTAATAGTCCATTAAAAGTGCAATACTAAATGTTGAGTGAACTTAGCTTGTTGCATGAGTAATGGACATCTGATTACCAATGTATTTTTGAGTGAGATATTGGGCTGAACGTAACCATTTAATGGAGAACATTGTTTACCAAACAACATGCACACTATTGCACAAAGATGTTTCATGAGCTTGTGTATGGCAATTTGGGAGCAATTAGAGGGTCATTTCAATGTAATGTCCTCTCCAGAGGATCTGAAACCTTTTTTAGAAGACAGTTGAAACATATCTGCTCAACTCATCAGATTGAAGAGCACAAGGGCTCTTCACGAGAACAAGGTAAACCAGTAAGGTTTAATTTCTAACTGAATATAAAATTACTTGCCAAAAGTGAAATAGGGAAAAATGGCATTGAGAGCTGAAGTAGAGAAAACGCTGGGCCAAATTAATTTGTTTCCCCATTAAATCTTCCAATAATTAAAATCAGAAAGAATAAGACTCTGCATTTTTCAGTGCCAGTGTAGTGACGTTATATTAATTAAGACTTGCCACAGCACATTTTTAAAAAAAAAAAAAAAAAATTTTGGGCCAATCTCAATCTTTGCAGCATGTTTAGTGGGTAAGTACTGCACCTTCAAACCTTTTTGTGTCTTAATGCCACATCTCTGAAGCACCAGGATAGGTAAAGCTAGCGAAGGAACAGGGCAGCGTCCTGATTTCTGCATTTAACCAGATGTGTGCGGGTAGGAGGTTGCAGTCCAATGTACTCTAATGACCATGTTTGCAGGTATACTCACTAGATCCAACCATAAAGTTCTGGCTATGAGCGAATGTTGCCTTAAAATGCACATTTACAAAACTGCTATTCTGTCAACAATTTTTAAGCTGATAGCTGGAATGGCAGAGTTGAATATGAAGAAAGTCTGGATTGGTTAAGACTTTATTCATGGGGGTTAAGAATGAGAGGGGGAATCTCAAGGAAACATAAAATTCAAAACGACTAGACAAAATAAAATGCAGGAAGGATGCTCACTGACTCAGGAGTGCAGAACCCCGGGGTCACAGTCTAAGGATACAGGGTAGACTGTTATAGGACTGAAAGCAGGAGAAACTTCTTCATCCAGAGTGGTGAGTCTGTGGAATTCTCTGCCACAGAAAGCAATCGAGACCAGATGTTTTCAAGAAGTTGTACGTAATTCAGAAGGACAGAATTTCGAGGCAGAAGATTTTTAGCACTTTGATTCTTTCCTTCAACTATTAGTTGTGCCTGAAACTTGTCCTCAATTTCTTGGATGTTGCTAACATGAATTAGTGGTATCTCGCCCCACCACGTTAAAATCTGTACCATCTCTTCATTCCGATTTCTTCATTGTACGCAATGGTCTTAATCAAAATTACAAATGATGACATTTGACTCCCTCTGAAGTATTATGGCTCTCTTGTCCACCACCTTTCTCAAGAACTGGAAAGAACTTCAATTCTGTAATGCTTTTCAAGATGAAGTAAAACATGTTACAGTTAACAAAATGCTTTTTGAAATGTAGGTACTATGGTAATATGGATAACCTGGTAACCAATTTTGCTGACAGCAAGGCTTCAGGTGATCATGACCAGCTAATTTCTTTTTAGTGAAAGTGCTATCGTATTGGATACCTATTGGTCAGGCCGTTAAGTAGAATTCCCTGATTTTTGAAATATTGTTTTTACATTGACGAAGAGTGAATATGGGCCTCTGTTATCCCAGCCAAAAAAGATAGCACTTCTGACAGTGCAGGGCTTCCTCAATTCAACACTTGCTATCAGCCAAGATTTTGACCTTAAGATTCCCCCATGGAACTGAAATGCTGATTTTTATTTATGTTTTGTCCACACCATTCTCCTTCTCTGGTGCAGATAATTCTACTTCTCTTCCCCCCTCGTCATCCAGTCGAAGCCATCTTCTCCCCAGTAGTAGCTTCTCTTCCTGCCCTAAGTTTTAAACCTAGAGTGCCTGAAGCATGTAACCTTTAAAGTGTTACTCTATCCTTGTTTAGTAATGTTACACTGTAATTGCTACAATATAGTGAAAATTCAAAAGTAGCCTTAGTTTTTGCATTTAAAGAAGTACAAGTCACTTTAAACTGGTGGTCTGTTAGGCTAGAGTTTGTGTTGCAGCAGTGGCCAGTTTCAGGATGAAGTAATAGTTAAAACCACCTTGTTGCATTGTGAATCACTTGATAACACCATGGGGCAGCATTTAGTTCTGCAAAGGAAACACCAGTTTAAATTATTTTTAATTGGCTGGATTGAAACAGAAACAAACTGACTTCTAATTAAAGGTTTCACTAAGCTGAATAATTGTGTGGAACAAGAGTGAAACCTTCTAAGATTAGAAGAGAAGGGTGTAATGTTGCTTAACAGCTGCAGTAAGGAAAACTAAAGTTAGAGATAAGCAATTAAATTTTCCATATTATTTTAATTTTTACTTCTACATAGTGTAGTGCACACTTGTGTAGGTGACCACGTGGAGAGTGAGATTAGAAACTGTTTGATTTTGTATTTGGTTTTCATGTAATTGGAAGATACAATTCTAAGCTTGATCTGAAGATTTTATAACAATGCTCAGTAAACCACCAAAATGCATCTTAAAAGTACTTCTACTGCACTTAATAAATTTGATGCTTTATTTAATGCGTGTATGGACCTTATTGATTTGAGCAAATTAAAAATAAGCCTTAGCCAATATCTTTCTCTCATTTTATATGTCCTTTGGTGATATGGTCCTCTGATTAATTCACCCTTCCCATGTACACATATCCAGTTCTGTTTTTTTCTGCAGTTTCATTATCTGTTACCTCTGCTGCCAGCCTGCTTGCTTGATAAGTAGTCTTTGGATGAGTCACATTTCCTCCAGTATATATTTAAGGACTGAAGTCAATTAACTTTGTTTTTGGCTCTCACCTAAACTCCATACCTTTGTCTCAGATTTTTTTCCTTCCTAGTAACTGTCAATTTTAGCCAAACTGTTTGGAATCTGATCTTGGTGTTTTTAAAATTCCTATAACTGATATCAAAAATTCCACTTGTGCATCTTTGTGCTTTTTTGTTTTGATTTCTTGTCACACGTTCCTAAGTACAGTGACGTGGTGTTTTGCAAGCAGTATAGGTTGATCATAATATGCAAGGACATGTATACAGCAATATGTCTTTGATTCAGCCTCATCTACTGAAACCCTCAATCCTGTCTTTGCCACCTTCAGATGTGACTATTCTCATAGTTCCCTGGCTGACCTATCATCCTTCACACTCCGTAAACCTAAACTCAACTCCTCTACTCACAATCCACATTGATTCCCAATCTCCCAGCCTCAAATTTGAAGGATATTTGTTTTGAAATTGCCTCATGGCCTTGCTGTCTTCTATGAGCCACCTACTCATGTATGCCATTTGTATTCTAGACTTTTTTGTGAAACTACTACTTCACCCCAACAAGGCCATTTTAAACTCCTTTTACCCCAGTGTTGGCCATATTTTACCCCAGCCTCTGGAATCCCCAAAAGCCCCTTCACCTTTCCACCTTGCTAGTCTTTAAGGCCTTCATTGAAACCTATCTTTCCCTCAAACCTCAGGTCCCACCATCCTCACATCATCTTGTCTTGACAGTCCATTTTTTTTCTTGCACCCCAAGATGCCTCAGGACACTTTGTTCTGTTAAAAGCACCATAAAAATTCAAACTGCTCTCACAGTTGGCACTTTCACAAGTGATCTGTTATGAGCAATCCATATTTGCTCAAAATCTTAATGCATTCTCTAAAATTAGCACCATTGTTCTGTATCTGAAAGAGCTGGAAAACAGCATTGTCACATCAGATTATAGGAACACATTTCTGGAATTGCCTTTCTACCATGCCCTAAAAGGACAGACTTGAAAGGACTAGCT